TCAGGCATTAAGAATTTACTGTTTCAGATCACTGACTTGTATTGCAAAACACAGCAATAATCAATTCTTAGCTGTACATGCATCAGTTCTTAGCTGTACCCCTCAGAGCTCTACCTTTGAAATGCAAACATTACATAACAAATTAAACTCATGAGTGCACAGCCAACCTACAGCTCCTCTCTCCACCACAGTGCTTGGCAAACGTTTCATTAACACTAAGTACCAAGCTTGCTTTATGTCAGCTGTTTAGGAATACATGCTTAGTTTCAGCATTTTTCAAAAGGCTATTTTAAACATATTCACTGCTAGTTCAAATTGAATTAGGGAGGCTGCAGTGGCTGTACCTCTACTAATACATAAACTGAGTATCCCACTGTTCCACTTTAGAATTCTATTTTTTCCAGTCATTGTAAGTTATATTAAACATCTGGGTCATTAGCAAATAGAGTTCTAAGGAATCTGAATGCACAGCAGCCTTGCTGCTGCCTAGAAAACACTGTCACGTGGGACTGCTCTTTGTATCCTTGATACTGTCTAGGCAAATATTCTATTGTTTCTTTCAATAATTATTTCCAGGAAAAGCAAAGAAGAAGTATGGCCTTATAACAATGGCAGTATCACTTGATAACACTCTTTTGTTTCCATCTTTCAGTGCCAAAGTCTCTTTTTCTCATGGCTGCAGACTCATATTACCAAGAAGGTATGAGCTATTCTGTCATTGTGCACACTGACAGGAATTTTGTTTTCTTTAATTTCTGGGTGCAACTCTGAGCTGCAACACTACAGCCAGGAGTAGTGAATTCACAACTGAAATTCACCCAGACTCCTCAGAAAGACTCTGGATTGTCAGGCAGCGAAATCACAGTCCTGAAGTTACAGGAAAAGCTCCTTCTGGTGTAGTTACAGCAGAAGGGCTGTTTGGAGTATGACAACCTGAGCTCCTGGGAGACATTTGACAGCATGTCAAAAGGAAGCACCAAGGAGTGCTATTAAACTCAGCCACAGCTACAATCCACTGCTGGGGAAGCACTTGAGGTTGATGCCTTAAACTTCAGCCCTGAATGGGGCTGATTATTGAAATTAGCAACAAGCATTTCCCTATAACAGTTTCTTTTGGCCAAAAATTTTCATCTGTTCATGAGAAATAAGTGCACTCATTTTTAGCTATTTCTGTTCTACACCACTAGTAAACCATTGGCTTTTAGTGAATTACTGTCCACTCACGTGAATAATTGATATTGGCCTATACATTTTATTAGCTGCTGAAGTTCCCTTTCAATTGTGACACTGCTTCAAGCTGATGAGCAGATCTCACCATGACAGAGATGACTGTGTGAGCACCTGCATGGTTTGCACCTCCAAAAGGTGTTTACCTGCCTCAGAAAGAAGTTGTCAACACGCTCAGCTTACTTCACTTGTTGCTAAAAACTGAGAGTGGAGTTTAAGTAGAATCTGGCATAATGAAACATCAACTGGCACTACCCTGAAATACACATTCACACAATCCGCTGCCAGAACTGGGGCTTGCTGAACGTGTCACTCACGGCGCTCCCAGACACTTGGCTGTACTGCAACTCTTTTCCCAGTGAAAGGGAACCAGATGGTGAGCGACTCTTGGCATTTCTCAGTGTTATGTGAAGTGTTTCTTTAGCTAGTGAGCACATGCCATCCAGTCAAGTCGCTTTGGAAACAGCCCTTGGTGTCTTTCTTCAGATTTCTACACAAACGGCAAACACCCCATTCATGAGGAAAGTCAGACCCAAGCATGGAACCAAAAGTCTCAGCTAGGAGTCTCTGTTGTCCTGGCGACAAAGAAGCATCTCTGAGGGAATTATTTCATCCTTTGGTCCTGCTACAGCCTCTGAGTGTTCAATTGCTCATCAGTGGCCATGGAGAAAGATTGATGGAGACAACTCAATTAAATGCCCACAGTCAGATGGGATGAGCAGAGGCCAGAATGCTCAACTGCCTAAAAGTACAGAGTTCCACAACTGTTTGTATATGCAAGCAGTGCTTGACAGCCAGTCAGGTCTGCTCTAAATTCAGGAATTTAGAGACTTGGTTCTGTTCCTGGCTCTGCCAAATCAACACAACCAAATCCTTTTTTCCTCTAGTTGAACCACACGCTTTGCAGGGCAGAGCAAAAGCTTGCAAGCAAACTTGCTAGAAGCTATTAGAAGCAGAGGTTTCAAAAACCCATTAAAATAAAAGAGAAAAAAACGTTAACCAGAAACATTACAGTTTATTATTTTGACTGTGCAGGTAAGGAGTGCTTTGCTTGAAGGGAAAGCTGCTGCTTTGCTGCAACAATTTTGCCTTGGGGCAATTTTCAGAGAGTTGTTATCTTTCAGGAATAATAAAATTCAGCATGTTGACTACACACCACACACAAGAAAGAAAAAAAAAAAACAGAAAGAGGAATAAAAAACCCAGAAAAGGCTAAATGCCCTACAAAACCTACTGAAGTTAGCTGTACACTCCAAACTTTGGATGGTGGCGGCTTTGTGGAAGTAGAGAAGAGATGGAAATCTGTATGCCCTTCATAGATACTCTCTCATTTCATAGACATGACCCCAGGCTACTGTTGGAAAGTATCAGAATTACTCAGTGCTACAAAACAGGACCCTTCCTGTGGCCAGATGAACTCTATAAACAGAATAATATTCTGTTTATATTTCATTGCACATGAGGGCAAATCAATCTTTCACTGATGCTCATGGAAAGATTTCTTTTGAATGTAAGGGGAGCCCAGATGGATGAGGCCCAAGAAGTTCAGCTAGCATAATCAAAAATATAACTGTCACTGACAGTAAATATGTTCTAATGTGTTAAAAGGAACTGCTCCCTAATAGTGTCTCCTCAGTTTAATTTCATGAGATGCATTTCCACACAGAACTTGGTATGTTCCTGCACATGCAAGGTAGGAAGTACTGTGTTTCTTGGGAGAGTAGATTCTCACCATCTCCAAATATCAACCGTGATTCATCACACAAAAAGTTCGCTTTTAACAAGCCTTTAAACTAGAGTAGTTCACCTACAGTGGTTGCCCTGGAGTAAATTTGCACTTGGAAAATTGATTGTGTATTTCACTAGCAAACCTCTTTGGGTGATTTACAAATCCCATTTGTAAAATCCCTCAGCTGCTCCTTTGAAGTCAAGGGACTTCCAACACCAACCATACCAGGCACGGGGAACTAAACCAGAACAAGTTATATTACAATGCTGATAGATGAAGAAGTATGATATATAGATAAGACTTCTCTGTCCCATTTTTACAAATATCTTATCAAACACTGCCAGTTACAACTGAACAAAATACAAAGCAAGCATTTCTCAGCACTGGCACTCTCTCCCGTGCCTGCCCAGCAAGGCAGCCCATCCTGAAACTATCACTGACAACTGGTACTTTTCCAGACCTGTCTTTACTGGGATTTCCAGTTTTCTCTTTCTCTCTATTTAAATATTTTTCTACTAATATACTCCAATTCACTCTAAGCTGACGAGAGTATCACCTGAACCCTCTGTCACATCTTAGAGAACACCCACTCCACTCTCACAACCGGAAAGATTTCTAAAACCAAAAATGATTGTTATGACCATCAGTGTCATCCTGCTGCAGAGCAGCCAGTGGAATTTTGTCAGTCTTCCTCAGTGCTGCACAAGAAAGCCACTGAATCTGACTCCAAATAAACACAGTAGTGCAAAAAGCAATTTGGATGCAGTTTATCTGCAATAAGGATTTAAAAATACTTCTATTAGTTTGTATAAAATTATACAAGAGAGAAATAAACCCAAAATCAATAACACTTGTTACAATTTCTAATTTCTCCTTATTTTGCTTGTTAAAACCACAAACTGCAGCTTCTCATTAAGAAAATGTTTAAGACCTGTGACTATCTGTAAGTGATAAGCCTTCTGTCTCCTGATTTCCTGATTTAATTCACAAGCTGTGTTTCACTACGAGTGGCAAGCTAGAAATAAGAATTTGCTCCAACAATTACTTGAATTCACTCTGGCTTTGCTTCCTCTTTGGCATCCCTCTATAAACCACTGTTTTATTAGCTCCACACATTAATTTGTTTTATTGTACTCCAAAAGGTTGTTTGACAGCGGTTTTCTGAACCTCATCATAGGCCCAACTTCACTCCTCCTCCCGGGCACCCGAAGTTGCTGGGGCGCATCGTGAAGCATTGAACAGTAAAGTGCAACATCCCAAGAGCTCTCCTAGGAAAGCGTTTCTCGCTGGTTCATTTCGCTGGAGCTGCAGCCCCTGACTGAACCACCGAAGGGAACTGTTTCCAGCCAGCGCACGGCGTTGCCCTCATTGCCTCTGGCCCGAATCCCACTCCCGTCTCCACTGATGTCACGATTTAAGCGGTCCCACTGACGCAACGCTCTGCCGAGACCGGTGGCGCGACTCCAGATTTACGCTGTGTCACCGAAGGGCTGGAGGGAGGCAGGGATGAGCGGAGCCCTCGCTCCCAAGCCATCCCCGGGCGGTTTCGGGGCTCCTGGACAGGTGCTTCCCTGACTATCCAGACACTGCCGGCACCGCACCGGCTCCGCTCCCAGTGCCCCACCGAGCTCAGCTCAGCCACGACGGACAAAAAGCGGAATAAAAACAGCCCTCGAAAGGAACCGCGACCTGTCCCTGTACCCGAGGGGTCTAGGCTGCCCCGAGGGATGGGGGATGCTCCGGGACCCCCGGGGAAAGAGGGAGCGGGGCTGTCTTTGGGGAGGGCTCCACGGGAAAGGGGGAAGGCGGCTGATGGCCCTGAGGGCAGGGGGCTCCAGGCCGCCAAGGGCAGGGCTCCGGCACCCCCCGAGGAACGGAGGGAGCCCGAGCCACCCCGAAAGGAGCGGCACCGGGCCGCCCTGAGGCACGAACCCGGGGCTCCCGAAGGGACGGGAGCCGCGGTGAGGAGAGGTGCGTGACGGGCGGGGTCTGGCCAGACACAGCAGGTGAAAGTTGCGCGGGGGCCGGCAGTCGCCGCACTCACCTCATCCCCCTGGCCGAACTGCAGCCCCAGGGCGACGAAGTGCTCCACTCGGATGAACCCGTCCGCATCCTCATCGCACACATCGAAAACCTCCTTGAGCTTCCGCAGGAACCGCAGCAGGCTGGCCGGCTCCATCGCGGGCATTAGCTGGAGGCCGGCGGCACGGCCGCGGCCGCAGCAGCCATGATCGCCCGCGCCTTCAGCGGGTGCGTGACATCAGCTCCGGGGAGCGGGGCGGGAGCGACGGCGAGAAGGAGGAGGAAGGGATGGAGGGAGGGATGGAGGAGAGCGGAGGGAGGACGCGAGCCCCGGCGGAGGGAGGGAGCGACGGGCGGGAGAACAATAGGGCAGAGCTGGAGGATGGCGCTGAGGGAGGCGCGGCCGCCGCCAGGGGGCGCCGCGGGCAGCAGGGAGGCCCCGGCGGGGCCGGGCGGGACGGGGACACAGAGACCGGGGGGACAGAGACCGGGGAGGACAGAGACCGGAGGGACAGCGGGAGCGGGGACACAGAGACCGGGGAGACAGCGGGACTGGGGACAGGGGAAGTCGGGACAGCGGGACCGGGGACATGGAGAGCGGGGACAGGGGGACCAGGGACGGGGGGACTGGGGACAGCGGGACCGGGGGGACAGCGGCGGTGGCAGGGAAGCCGCCCGGGTAGCGGGGCAGGGTGGACAGGAGGGCAGCAGCCCGGGACGCTGCTGGCCGGGCATCCCCCGGACCCGTTTGCAGCCCCTTCACTGCTCTATACCTCAGTCCGATACCCCAATAAAACACCAGTCACGCTGCAATATTTTTTCTTAGAAGAAACCTGGTCTGAATAGTTCCAGGGTAGAGGGGAAAAGCCGAGTGTAGAGAGTTAAGGGGCAATTGAGGCAAAGCAGGACAAGCGCAGCCCCCGCGCTGCGGTGCGCTCAGGCAGAGCCATGGGAAGGATCCCCGCCTGGCTGGGCACTGGCTCTGCCCGGCCCCGCTTTAATCTCACAGAGCGGGTCGCGAAAGGGGGTCCCTGCCTTTGCAGGATTCCTCGTTAAATCCGCCCGCAACTGCCGTGCTCCATGGCTGGGTTTTAATGTGATCTCTCTGCTCTGCCCCTTTTCTTTCTTTCAAGAGTGTTTTGGACTGCCTTTGAAGCCCACAGCTGTGAGCTGACAGAGGGGAGACGGGATGGTTCTGGGTTCTGCACTCAGACCAGGCATGATGACTCCAGCTCTTGGGGAGGAAGGAGCTCCGGCTGAGTCAGGCTCAGGTACTCACTGCCTCTGCCAGCACTCCTTTCCTGCCGTGGATGCTACGTGCAGGTGACATCAATCACTGAGTGACGTCCTGTAGGTGATTGATAAAGCTGTCCAACTAAAATGACCATGTAAGTGCAGCAGGTTTTGAATCGAGACAGTATCCATTCATTTGCTTCTTGCAGTAGGAGAGGTCCATATGGCCCTTAACAACCCTGAAAATTCCATGATTAGAGCAATCTGCTCAAATTTATCTCTTTTGTGGAAACCAGTGTGTTCTCAGGAAGTTTTATTTCTTTGAGCACAAGTCTCATCACTTTTATGTGCAAATTCAGGGTTTGGAAAGAGGCTGGCTTGACAGCCCTGTAGCCTGCAAATCAGTTGTCAATCAACAACACACTGACAGCAATACAATTCCCCACATATCCACCTCAGAGAGATAAGGAACCTCTTTCCAGAGCCTCTGCCACTTTGATCTTCCTTTATTTTTTACCAAAAAAAAATCACAGAAGAGTTCTCCTTTCCCCCAGTGATGTACTAAACGGTCTTTCCAGTCTGGAAGAAAAAAAAAAAATCAAAGTGCAGAGATCAGATATGAACCTTGGGGAGCAACGAATTTCTGAAGAGGTATGAGGAGATGTGAAAGGAAAAAGGGAAGCAGAATATTTGATCAGCAATCTTCTCTGAAGCTTTCTAGTTAGAGCAGGATTCTTGAGTTGTGGGGATGTTTAGCTTTTATCTTGAGACCCTTGAACTCTTCAGTTTATATGGGGACTGAGCTCAGCACACCCCTTGGGGACACCTATTCAGAAATATGTGAGGTGGTAGCCCTTGGAGTTGTGGGAAGACACCTGTGTGGAATCAGGTCCTGTTAGTCTAACTGCTCTGAAGTCAGTTCAACCTCTTCAAAGGCTCAGAGCACATCTGTGTCACTGTCCCACCTCGCTTGCTGAGGTTATCTCAGTGACTCCTTGCTCTGACTCCCCTCTCTGTGTGCAGGTGGGCAGCTGTGCAGGCCCACACTGGGAAGTGGAGTCACAATAAATATGGTGGTAGGAAAAAAATTTAAAAAATAATATTCCTGTTTGTCATGACCAGAGGAAGAGTTCTCACACCTCAGAGGGGCTGTGCTCAGTTTAATGAAATCCGGTTAATTTCCACTGACTCTCCTTTATCTTCTGCTGGAAGATGAAGGAACTTGGTCTAGATATGCAAGTAAGGGGCAACATGGATTTAGATCAAAAACTGTCATCATTAAAATCTGTGTCAATCTTGCACTAATTTGGAAGGGGTGGATGCAGAAGAAGATTTGGGTTTAGACACTGTGGCTTGAGGAATTAGTGCTGAAGTCCAAAAACTGCCACAGACAGCCTGAGTGCCAGCAAGCACTGGAATGAAGCTGATAAGAGAGGTGGAAAGGTTGTAGAAGCTGTCATTACAGACAGCTGAATATGTGGAGCAAATACCTGACAGCTGGGAGATGATTTGATAGCACTGAACACGGGAGAATTGGGATGAGAGATGCTGTCAGTAAGGGTCTGTGATCTTAAAGCTGGGGGTGTCTTATGGGGACTAAAATCAGAACAATGAACCAAAAACTTGCCACCCACTTGCTGGGCAGCTGCTCTGCCAAGGTGAAGTTTTTAGGGCTGAATCCAGGAGGATGTTTTTTATTTCCAGGTGTGTAGCTGGCATTGCTCCTTGCTCATCCCTGCTTCTCCACTTTGAAGTAGGACATGCACCAGTGGGCTATTTTTCCTTGCTGGTATATCTAACTACCTGTTTAATCAGAGATAATTGGCAACTTCTCCATTTGACTCATGAACTATGTGAAATAAGTATTTTACATACTGCCACTCTAGTTTCCTTCTAGAATTTGAAATAGGACTAGTGGTAGTGCTACCATATTTGCATGCTAAGAATAAATAGTTCAAGAGGAAATATTTCATTGCATACCACACACCATGGCTGTCATTTGCAGGATTTCTGTACAATCAGCTGCTTTTCCATCAATGTCAGTTCCACTCAGAGAGCAAATTGTAATCTGGTGTCAGAAACACTGTCTAAGGAGGGCACTCCCCAGGGCTGATGGCCCTATCTACAATTCTGGTTGTGTTCCAGTCACATCCAGAGACCCAGCCCCTAAGAAGAGCTTCACAGTACAATTTCTCTTTACAGTACACACAATATAGCCCTCCTTGAATATTTGGCTTCTCATAGTTTTACTGTATTTTGAATCAAATCCTGTTTCCCATTGACTGCTCTGGTTAACCACAGATAATAGATGTACTTTCTCAACTGGACATTCTCTTTCAATGTCACAAACAACAGGTAACAGGCAGAAATAATCAGCTTATTAACACCCTTGCCCCTGAGAACTTAAAAATATTACTTAAGAAGTAATGGCTTTTTCTCAGACTAGCTTAATTAAGTTTGAAACAGAAGCAAGATGCTTGATTTTTTTTTTACTGCCTTTCCTCTAATCTATTTTTCTATTATAAAAAGTTAAACAGCAAGAACAAAACTTAAAAATTTTGGAGAAATGTTTCTACAAGCAAGGATCTTCCTTTGAAATTTTCTTAATGCTATAGGACCTCACCTTGTAAAAGTTTTACTGGATTAATTTTACACAGTATGAATTCTCTTGCTTGATTTCGACAGCATTCTTACCAGATTATGAATTAGGCATGAGCAAAACTCTGTGAGATGAGCCCAGCTAGAGAGCAACTGCACTCAATTCAAACACATTAATGCCTTATTTGTTTCTTACAGCACACATACTACACAAAGACCAAACTACCCGTTCTCCCGAAGTTAGGGCTAAAATAAACAATCCTCTGTCGAGGTTCCCATAAAGCCGATTCCACCGGGAATCCATAGGGTCAAACGAATATTCCCTGGTGTTCCCAGGGACAGCACCAGGGCTGCAGATGCCAATGCCAGTGTTCCCCTGGCATTCCGAGGTCTCCTTACTCCACCGAGTGGCCGGTCACTCCACTGCACGTCTGTCACCAGCCCAAGGCATCCCCCTGCGAAGGCTGGCAAGAAGAATAAAATGTAAAGCCGAGGTGAATGGACAAGATTTGCTCCTCTTCCACATGCCACAGTCCTCCAGATGCCCTGGAGCCAAACCTCTCGGTACGTTCCAGAAACCTCTCTGCTGCCTCAGGGAAAGGACAGCGCCTGCCCACTTTTCTCTGACCAGCTCCAAGTAATTGGGCAGGCTTACATTTCCCTCAGATTATAACATACAATTGCATCTGGCAACCTCTTGAAAGCAATAAAATGTTTAAAGCTCCAGGAAAACTGAAAAGCAGACCCAGTGTAGTAGCAGCAGACAAGGTATTTTCAACTTCTGCCCCAAAAGAGGGCTGTCAAGTGACACAGACATTCCTCTCTGGCTCTAACAAGAAAACGACATTAATCACATTAATAGAACTAAGCCCCAGATTCCCAAAGACTTTTTTTTCCTCCTTTCCTTCCCTCAATTTGTTAAAAAATGAATGAATCATCTAGAAAATCATCTAGCAGCTGTAACAGACTGAGGATGCACCAGCCAGTCTATTTTTTTTAGCCTAACTCACCCATAACACAACATATAAACAGTTGAAAGTCATCTTTTACTGCTTTAAATTAAGTTTCTATAATTTTGTTTATTTTGTCCTATCCAACATCTGAATACATATGTTCCATCTGCAGTTTTAGTAGAGCTGACTACAGGAATTTTATTCCCAGATATTGCTGTATTCAGCAAACAGAAATGGGAGAGAATAATAAAATTAGAACATGGTATACCATACTGATATTACTGTCAGTTGTCACTTGTGTTGTCTCCAAACAGATTGAGGGAGATGAGTCCAAGCTGGCTGATAATGGGAGATAAAGAACAGAACAAAACTATTTATACAGGAGAATGTAGGTGCAGCATCATTATTGCTGTGACCATCCACCGGCCAAGTGGGGCTAATGCTGATGAGCAGAGTCTGGTTCAAAGACACTCTGCAACCAGCTCGTAGAGAAATAGCCCTAAAAAGGACACTTCAGGACCAGAGAAGCAATAGGAAAGCAGCTTAACCAGGCTGATTCTAGCACCTTTATGCCTTTATAGATGAACTTCATATCTTTATAGCTGCCTTCAAAAATGACAGGGGGCATTGTCAAGTCTAGGCACTACAGCTTGCAGATGGAATTATTCCAGCTGTCTCTTAGAGGATTCACAGCATTTAAAAACTGACACAGCCCTATTCAGAACAGTATCTACCTATACATGTTGGTGTTGAAACTGGAGGATAAACTAGGGGAGAAGAGAAATGGCTCTTGGATTTGAACCAGCTTCAGTAAAAGTGTGATGTTTGCCTCTCTGCTGTACAGTCACTCTGGCCTTGTTTTTTCAAGTCGCTTGTGAATCTGTACTTGTGTTTGCCTACATGACATCCAAGTGAAATTTGGAAGTCCTACATCCTAAACCTTCCTTAGCACAAGTGTTGTTTGCATCCAGAATTGTGCAATAATGAGATGAAAATACTGAACAGCAGAGCTGACACATTAGCTGGAATCTATATGTTTTTGGTCTCCTGAGACACAGTGCTGTGCCCTTATAGTGCCTTATTTTCCAGCCTCAAGTAGGTTAGGAGGAGGGAATAAAAAAGGCATGTCCTGAAGATTACCACTTTAGGAGCATTTCAGACCAATGCTGGAAGTTCTGAAGTCCCCTATGGGTGGGACATGGCTTAGCAGTATTCCCAACTGGTTTAGACCATTGCTATAGTTAATTCAAAAATCAATTATGCTAATGCTTGCCACTGAATTACCTAAACACAATGAAGAGTAATGGCCAATATATGAAATATGTAAGGATGCTTTGCTTTCCTTGGTAATGTTTGAAGTGACTGGTTGAAAACTGCTGCATTAGGCTGTTCATGCTAACACACCCCTTCTCCTGCCAACACAGTTCTCTCCTACCTCAAACACCCACCACAAAGGAAAAAAATCCTCTCCAAGCAATGACCAAATGGTTCATTGTTCCTCCACAAGACCTGTAACTACTCCTTAACTATCAAATCTATCATACAGCAAATGCTAAAAGCAGGTTCAGAGAAACTTTGTGAGGGCAAACTCTGTTCTATTGAAGTTCTTACTGTTTCTGCATCAGTTTGTGGGCCAGATAAATTGCTACTCGATTCCTGAATCCCTTCTGGAAAATTATTAATATATCTCAGAGTTCAGAAGTGACACATAAAAATTGTGCTGCCATACACAAGAATATTTACAGGGTAATAGACACAACATGACAATAAAGACGTGCTCCAAGATTTCCATCTTGATTCAGTACACAGACATTCTTCTTTTGCTGTGGCTTTGAAAGAAACTTCTAGGTTTCTTTCTCTGGCTTGGAGAAGGTAGATTGTTATAGAAAGCCAAAACTGTTCATGCTGAAGCAGCATGCTGAATTACTGATTTTTAACAGAGATCTGTTTCTGTGAAAATTAACTTAAACTGATGGTGAGCAAAATAAGTCAGTGGCTGTCAGGCTACCTATGCAATCAGAGCCTGCAGCTGCAGAGGATGAAATACAAACACTGGGCTGTTTTCTTCTGACTGATCCAGCATCTGTAAAATATCTTATTAATATTTAGAATGAATCACTCTAATGGGTTTGCCAAGTGACTGCCCTCATCTGGAAAAGGCACAGTGCATGAAATCAAAGTGCACAAATGATGTCACTGCCAATCAGATACACAGCGGGACTTGAACTCCTTTCAAAGCAACTGATTTCTTACAGCATCTGCTGGACAGGTGACCTACCTTTGTGATGATCCAGAGCTGTGACACACCCGTGACAAAGCCTTTACTGGAGTAAAACGAATCTTCCTTGATGCTAATGGATTGCTGCTTTGTTGTTTGCATTTAAATGAACCCTAGTTAAAAGCCTGACTCAATAAGCAAGTGTTTTTATTCTAGCACATTTAGATTTGGCATAGCCCCTATAACCAACAAATCGTTACCACCAGCCTTCTTGACACTATCTTTTTTCCTCACAAGCTGTCTCTGCCAACAGAAAAACCTGCTGAAGCTAAAACAAAGCATAAAAAGGAACAGATGCCTCAAGCCTGTGACTGAGCACCAGCACAGGGCAATTGAATCAATGTCCTATTTGATAAAGAGAGGTGAGAACAGCACTAAATGCTGCTTTCTGAAGAGACCACCTTCTCAATTATTTTTCTCTCTCAGGCCCTATAGTATTAATTTAGGATTAATGCAGAATGTTGTACATAACAGGACTGAGGACCAGCCAACTGAAACTGCTGTCATGGTCTAACCCCAGCCAGCAAACAAACACCACAGAGCTGCCCACTTGCTTCCCCCCACGACAGATGGGGGAAAGACTGAAAGGTAAAAGTGAGAAAACTCTTGTGTTGAAATAAGGAGAGTTTAATAGGCAACAAGCAAATCAAAATAAGGAGCTCATTCACCACTTCCCATGGGCAGGCAGGTGTGCAGCTGTCTCCAAGGAGCAGAGCTCCACCACATGCAGCAGTTACTTGGGAAGACAAACAGCATCACCCCCAGTGTCCCCCATTCCTTCTTCTCCCCCAGCTGAGCATGACACCACCAGGCCTGGGACGTCCCTTGAGTCAGTTAGGGCCAGCTGTCCTGGCTGTGTCCCCTCCAACTCCTTGTGCTCCCCACTGGTGGGGTCTGGTGAGGGCAGAAAAGGCCTCGTGAGAACTGCTCAGCCACAACTAGAACACAACTGTGTTATCAACAATCTCCAGCACAAATCCAAAACATAGCCCATATTATCTACTAGAAAGAAAATTAACTCCATCCCAGCCCAAACCACACATTACCCAGGCAAAAACATACTGATTTGCTAGGGAAATTATTTAAAAACATTAAAAGAATGCAGATATGCAAATTTACACACTGGTAGCAACCTCCTTCTGTTCACCTAAAAGCCAAAACAGAAAATAATGTCGTTTTCAAGCAGTGAAATCAATGTGATGCTGAAGAGAGATGAATTGGACCTATTTATTGAAAAAAGTATTTCAAAAAACAAATCTGGATCTGCATTGCTAAAGTTCTCAAGAGGAAAGCAATTATTAGGTACCAATAGTGCAGCTGCTGGCTGATTGCATGTGTGCTCACACAGCCTTGTTCCTGTCCTAGGGTTACTTTATGATGCTGAATTGTATCCCCATTTGTCTATTCGGCCCAGAAATAAGTTTTGCACCTTTAAAACTAGATCTGAGAGTGAAGTGGGGGGAGAAGGAGAAGCAGTGAAATGTCTGAGGCAGTTGTTTTCAAAACAGAGACAGAGAGCTTCAGCATTTTTCTCTCCTGGACTGTGTTGTCTGCAGCACGGACAGACAGCAGGAGAGAGCTCTCCTTTGCTTTTTAGTTAATTTTTTAGCTAGCTGAGGCAGTGAAGTTCCCTGGACTGTGTGCAATTTTTTTTTTTTCTTGGAACTGTTCAAACCTGCTCTGGACTGAAAATCCAGAAAACACTGGGAGCTCACATCTGTGGCCCACCTGGGCCTGGGACACAGCCTTTTCCAGCCTCAGAGGGACTGATAAGAGACTGAGCAAACCAAGCTACACCCCACAACAAGGACTTCCTGAATTTGCCATCTCTTCAGAACAGAGAGAGGTGTTATTGTTTAAGTATTTTTTTTTATGCTTGTGAATACTTTGCTTGTTAAATAAACAGTTTTTTCCCCACTTTTCTCCAAGGAATTTTTTCCCAAACCAGTAGAGGGAAGGGCTTGAATCTCCTTTCTAGAGGGACCCCTTTTGGAGTTTCCTCACCAATTTGCCCTAACCAGGACAGTGCCTCAGTTCTTGCTAAGACAATGCTACCAGGTATTTCATGACAGTTTCAGTGGCTGGAGTAAGTGAGAGGTTGTTATTTATTTAGGATTCTGAGAGCTGGAAGGAGCTGTTGTGCCTCCTATCAGACACCAATAAAAAACAACTACTTCATGCTCCATAGCAAAAGTCAAATGATGTCTGACCAAGTCTCTTCTTGACTATGTATTATAAAAAAAGAAATGTTTCAAAATAATAGGTCTCTGCAAGACTTATCTCCAAAAGACATGGATTAAGATTTTGTGTATCCTTCTTTTTAACAGCCCTATAGTATTTCAGAATTATGCTGTTATTGCTTAAATAATGCTCCTTTCTTTCTGGCTAAACCCAGAAGGTTTTAAGAAGCTTCTGTCTGTTGGGACTCTTTGGTACAAGAGGGTATTAACAGGCCTTCTGCTTCAGGATACAGAATAGCAGGAATTCCTGCTGGATGTGCTTTAGGTGTTAAAGGCAAAGTTTGAGCAGTAGGCATTAAGAAGAATGGAAACAAGAAACAAATGCTCAGATGAAAAGGGACAAATCCTCCTCTGTGGGATGTTTTTCTCTCTCCAGAGCACAGGAAGTCTGAAGAATCTTGGATCCTAATTCAGGCACCTCAGCAAGATGAGATGGACTGTGATTCCTCTAGGGCAGGTCCTCTGTCTTCATCTTGAATCCAGCCAGGTGACTCAAGCCTGAGGACAAAGGAAGGAACATTCCACAGCCTCATGAAGCAGATCAACTCTCCCAGAGGAACACAGAGCAAATGAAGTCAAATCAGTTTTACTCTTGGTGTGCAAACAGATAAAGGAGCATTCAGGGAAGGGCAAGAGCACAAAATCCTTCCAAGGCAAAGGTTCAAGGCTTGTTCTTTATGACAGGGGACTTCCCTCTGGAAGAGTCATTTATCAACAGTGTTAAGGCAGCAAATCACAGCTTAAAAAATCCAAAAGCAATAACTCATTCAAGGAAAAAAACACCTTTCCACAAGCACTTGTGCACAGTATCAGCAAGATGAAGGAGGCTGTGTGCCCAAACAGCCACTGTGCCTCCTTTGGCTTAGGATCCAGATTCACACTCCTCCAGAGCCCTGCTGCTGGACAGGAAGTCAGACCAGATGTCCTCCCTTCCCCTAGTGCTGCTGTTGAGTTACCATCCTGAGCATTTTGAGTGCCATCTCTCCTTGGTCAGCTGGTACCTAGCACGGAGAAAAGCACAGGATAAGCAGCTGCTATAAGGAAGCAGACAGCAGCCACACACATCTTCAGTCTTCTTGCTGATTCCACCCTAAGAACTTCATTATTTACCATGTGCCCAGCCTTGAGAATCCAGAAGAAAGCAAAGTTCTCATAGGCCTTGTGGAAAGCAGCTGTCTCAGTAGATTCTGGAGACACATACAGTGCCTTCCACCTTTTCTGGCTGAACTGCTCCAAATCAGGCCACTTCAGTTTCCGGATCCATGCCTCCTGGCCTGTTGGAAATAAGAGATAGCATTGACTACCAATACTTGGAAATTACCAATACTTGGTTCCACAGCAGCTTGGGAGTCCAGTTCAGCTGGACACCCCCTGAACCAGATACCAGTACAGCAGAGTTAGCACAGAGTCTGTGTGTTCAGCTCCTAAAACCAATTTTCTTAGGCCTAGGAAAATTCAGGACAAACTGAAACAAACCAATGGAGGGGAGAAGGGAATAAGTAAACAGTGAAGGTGTGTATGAAATGGATTTAGGATTGCACAAGTTGAACATGTGCTTCTTGGAGGCTCTGCAGCCCTAGAAATTCCAACATATTTCACTTTGCACCTCAAACACCTTGAATGTCCTGCCATGGAGAAGGATCAGCCATACCAAGTCTCCCTCCTGGAAATCAGAAGAGGTACTGTTTCTCTCTTTGTTGGACACTCATTGAGAGGAGGCTGAAAAGGCTTTCTGTTTCCAGGTGCTGCTAGAGAAGGTGGAGGTCAAGACAGCAACAAGATCAATTCTAAGACTCGAAGGAGGACAAAGCTTTAGCCTACCTGGGAACTGCTGGAAGAATTTACATGTTAACTACAGCTCAATTTTAGACGAAAATGTGATAAACTGGAGCATCACTAACTGCCAATCTGTTTTGACAGCCTAAATACCATGCTTCCTGGATTTACTGATTGCTGTGTTGTTCATGAAGGGCATTTGAATATCTAAGTGGACAGCGACATACAAGGAATAAAGCCTTTCACAACATAGAAAGGTGTTTGTGGAGCCTGTGACTGCGGATTCTTTAACTCTGTGAGAAAAGACGAGCAGAAGGGCACACAGCACCCTTGTTCAGCATTTCAGCAGCACTTGGCCTGGCTCCCAAACTACCCCTGCACCAAACCAGCATCTTGAAAGCAGCAAACAAAGCCCAGGGTGTGCAGGAGCCTACAATGAGAGCAGGTGTGATCACTCTTCCACTGCACCCTCCCTCATTAATTACCAGCATTCTTTGCCTATGAATGAGCATACACACATACACATCTATGTGCCTATCCAGGAGGATTAAGTGAATTATTGGCTTCACTGAAACAAGCAATTACTGATGTTGCAGATCCATTTCTCAACAGTATAATGCAGGTAAAGGATTTGCCTCTCTCAGAGGGATATAAGCAAAACATCCTAAGTGCTGCTCATTTATGACTGTAGTATTTAAGCACTGCTAGTTAGGTAAGAGGTTTGCACAGAAGATTGGAGAAATCTGGGTAGCAATATACTGACAGCTCCACATTCTATTCATCACATGTTCTGTTTCCACCCCCAGTGAAGAAGTTCCTCACCCATGGTGTCAACAATGAGGTCCAGCTGCCCATTATAGACTGTAACACTGATATTGGCTGCCAAAAGCTGATCAACGATATCGATGACAGGTTTCATGAAGTCCTCAGCCATGTTCTCAAAGACCTGTCTGGACTGACCTGGTTGGAACCAGAAAGACAAATTTTAAGTCATGAAGGATGTCATCCCCAAGTTGGGACAGAAGCATGGGCTAAAGGCTTTAAAATGTAGTTCACAGCTGCACAAAAAACAATCCTAGCCAAAAGTGGCAGTGATTTATCAGTCTGAGGAACACGAGGACCAGACAGCAGCTGTGCTCCCACTGGAGCTCACAGACAGTGCTGTAGTTGCTGGCTCCTATTTACACACACAGAGTGCTGACATCAGCATTTAAGCCTGTTTTACACCCCCTCCTCCATAAAATGCCAGATGATACCAGACTTCTGGCAGAGAAAAACTAACAGGAATTTCAGCAAGACTGCATGAAAGACAGCAGTTCCTGAAATACCGAGGATCTTCCTCCCTCCTCCTGTATTTTTAGTTACTTGGCTAAAGATAGATACAGCAGAATCAGAACCACACCTGCTCCCACAGACCTGCCCCCCGACATCTTCATTTCTGAGAACAAATCCCCTCCTTAGCCCCATGGACAAGGACAATTGAGTGTCACCAGTTGCCAGAGTATTTTCCTGGCAACTGGTCTGAGTTGCCAGAGTATTTTCCTACAGGATGCAATACTGTAAAACAGTGGTAATGAACTCATCAGGTGCACACTAGCACACAGGAAAGTACCTCCCCACTTCACACAGTCAGGAATGATCATCAGCTTCTTTCTGATGGGCCCATTCATCAGCTCATCAAGGCTGCTCTGATGCATTTTTCTGACATGGCGCTGGTAAAGCCGCACTGAAAAACAGCGAACACCCTTTGATCAGTGGCACACTTAAGACACCATCCTGCACAGACAACACTCTTCACTGTCAGTCATGGCCAACAACCCTTTTCTAATGAAAATGCAGCACCACAGAGACAGATTTGCTTACTTTTACTAGAAACCACTGAAGTCAACCCTTATTTAGGGCAGGATGATACAGGAAGACTCCATCCATTCCTACTTTTAGCTAACACTGCACTTTTTCTGGGCATCAGCTTCTGCTTTAACCACTTGGCTCTTCTCAACAGACCAGTTATTTTTGAGCTGCAATGTTTTACTTTCAGGAGTTAATTTCACCTTCCCTTATGAAACCAACAGAAAAAGAGCTTGAAAGAAGTTCTACACATGTGTTTTTCACATTGATGCACAAAAATAATGGAGCAATAATTTAATCAGACTGTTTCTACTGATGAGACACTGGCGTCCTGTCTTAAAGACAGAAATGAAAGACAGTAAGAGGAAGTAACTTAAAAGGTCATGAAACAATGTTGCAATTATGCTGACTGCTTCCTTGCTGTAATTTGTGCAGGATGTATAGGTGGAGGTGCCATCTATAGGGTTGTTCCACATTCCTATCTGTCTCTACTTATGCAACGGCAAACAAGTTCTGCTCGAGAGAATATCAACATCCATTTTAAGGATGTGCTACACTCAGACTCTTTCCACTGTCAGGGTTGAAGGTATGTGAATGGAAACACAGGGCCTCAGAAGTTCAAGTATTGAAACACAACTTACTGAGATGGAAATTTTCCTGTTCATCTGATTTCACTTCTGGAACCTCCTTAGTCAAGATGTTATAAAAGTTCACATTGTCTGTGTTCTGAAAACACAAGATAATTTCAGTAACGCTAATAAAAACATTTCTCAGAGATGAAGAACAATCCTTCCTGAAAAAAGACAAAAAAAAAAAAAGAAAATGCTAAATAAAGGACCCTGTTACTTTACTTTACACCAGGAAGATACTTGTGGAAAAACTTCATTTCTACATTTGCTTTGAGAAGTGAGAAAGAGATTCCTCAAGACTGTATTGTTCACACATGGGTTGTGCCAGAGATGTTATTTCCTCTGATGCAGATGTGAAGCTACAGGAAGTCTTACCCTGCATTACTCATGGCAGAGAGCTGCAGTGCCAGGTGATGCTTTTAGACAGCCTCTTCTGCCACGTCAGGTCTGGTGCTGCTCTTGCTCAACATCCTTCCAACCTACAATCCTCCAAAATCTAAAATGCTTCCTCGAGAACATGGTGCTGGGTATGAGCCACCCCCTTCTGGAGCTGCTGACAGCTGGATGTGCCCAGGCACTGCAGATTGGCAGCTCTGATGCAGCTGACAGAGGCTGTCTGAATCCAAGGACAAATGTGAGCAGTGCTGCCATTAGAGAAGTTACTCCAGAATCTTGAAGCCCTGCTTTACTTGATTTTTGAGTTTTTAAAGTTCTGATGTTTAGGTCAGAAATCAGCTCACAACAGCAACTGCACAAGAACTGCAGTGCCTTCACCTGCCAGCACCATCACAACTGAGAGGGGAAGCCAAGTAGATTTGAAAAGTAAAACAGGAAACAAAAGCTCCTCCTGAACAGCAAGAAGTGAAACCAACTATGTGCAAGGCACTGTCAGTTATGAATAATAGCAAAAAAAACCCAAAAAATATCCAAAAAAAGAAAAAAAGGAAGTGGCTCCAGATTAGCCTTTCTGTCCAAGAAAGCCAGAGCCTTATGTGTATTAAAGAATGAGATGCAACCAAGAATGAGATTTTGAAGCAACCTTTTAACAGGAGAAACCAAAGCAAAACTTTACCAGTCTTTTATGCTGGAACTTTCTAAGTGAGGAGATGCAGTGACCCACAGTAACAGACCATAATTTGAGGTTCCTTTCCATCCTGTGCACCTACTGTAGTTCTTCAAATAGAGATGTGTGCTTAACTTCAGGTTTGTGTCTTGGTGGATGCAGTTTTCAATATTCAAAGCTTTCCAGGAGATAGAGTTTATTTAAATTGAAACTGTGGAATCAAGAGGACTAGTTGTCTGCTGAAACCTCAGTGCAATACTGGAAGACCACAAAGGCTGTCCTGCCCACTTTCTCTGTCACTCCCCCAACAGGGCATAGCAAACATTCCTTTATATCAGCACTGGGATCAACAAATCCTGGCAAAAATGACTGGGCAGAGGGTTGAAGAATTCATGCCAGCTCAGCACTCACAGAAAGGATAACTTGAAATCATGTGCCTCCCCAGACAGCAGTTAGTTCTTAATGTTGGTCAAAGATCTCACCTCTTCAATGATACCTTCAGCCTTGCCCCAGAGCTCAGTAGCCAGCCCATATTGATTTTTGTTTATTGCATCCATTATTTCTTTGGCAACAGCAGTCACCTCTGCTAGACCATTATCATCAAGGAGAGACTGGAAGACAAACACAAAGAAGGACAGCTTCAATTACAATTCCACATCCATTTATTGCTAACAGCCTCCATGCTTTCGAGGTTTTATTCAGGCCAAGATGTAATCTTAAAATTCAACATTCATTTGTACTGTATGGCAGCACAAGGGATCAGGTGAGAGTTTAAGAAAGTACTTACAGTGCTGTAAAGGTAGGGTCCCCAGGACAGCACAGAGTCTAAACAAACAGAACAGATTTCAAACATCAAACTGGCAATCAATTATTGACTAAGATTTAACTTACTTCTCTTTTACTGGGGAAACAATATTTATGAGAAAAATTAATGGAGATGAATTAATCAGTAAAAAGGTACAGTAAGCTCTCTTTAATCCTAAGGTTATGTACCACAGAGCAGGTTCTTTACAAATCCTGCAACATCATTAACCCCTTAGGAGTTAACCAGTGAAATTTATTTAAAGCAACCAACATGTTTTTACCAAAATGTTCTCCCCCCAGCACTGCAGCACATTACCAGATGTCTAACAAGAGGATGGGAATTATCTAAACTGATCTGTTTGAAAAGTCACGAGGGAAAAACTAAGTTATAAAACAAATCTGTTTTATAACAGCTTTGTTTGCAAATTCTCAAGGATCAGCTGATGGCAGACAGATAAGAGTTTGCTTGGTATTGTTCTGTGCTGCAGAGAATCTGTGAAGCCTGCCCTTGCCAATACCACTGAAGGACCAAGAGCCCTTTAATTTGCTTTTTATCCTCCACCAGACACAAATCTCACTTGCAGCCTTGTGAATCACTTGGCAGCCACATTTCAGCACAGGACTCTTACAAAACACCTCACAGGCTGTGGAGATGGGCAGGGACATTTTGCCATCCTTCCACTTCAGATACAAGTGGGCTCCTTGTTGCCTTTGCTCTCTGATTTTTCCTAATCTAGATACATTCTAAAAAGAGAGCCTTCAGTCACAAGAAGACTTGCAAGGCTGCAGTATTTATTTTTGATTTACCAGACTCACTAGAGAGTTAATTCACTTCAGGCAGGGATGGCCTTTTTGAGTTCAGGCACTCATGGAGTGATTACAACACCCAACAAAACAAAATGACAACAACAAATCATCAACAGTCTGAAGAGTTTAAACATACCCAAAGGAGAAATCCATGAGTCTCCAAGAGCAGTCCCCATAAAATTGCACTTTATGGTCCCTTTTTGAACAGCCTTCGTGAATAAGAGGAAAAACAAAACAAAACACCAAGAATTAAATTTTAGCTATTCATGACTCTAGAATCAGTTTTCTTTAAGTGAAAAAAGTAAGTAGCACTGTGAATTAGGAAATAGGGATGGTGTATTCCAGAAAATAAAAGTACTTGTAGAACTTTTAAAGTGAAAAGTGAACTGTATCCTCCAAGTACTTACCTTGTGCAGCTCTAAAGCAACCCCAGCAGCCATTTTACCTCCATAAGATTCAGAAAATATGTAGAATGGGATGGTCTGGGGAGAGAAAAACCACACAAGGAATTCATTGCATGGGGGGCAGAAGACACCTCCAACCATCTCTCACATCCCACAGGACCCAGCACTGGCTGTTCACCTCTCCCCATCAAACATTTAATGTTTTTCTTATTTTAAGCTGCACACTAGGTTTCCATAACATCCTGGTGACTTGCTGGGGTTGGTTCTAAAGTATTTTGGAACTATAAGCAGCTGTGATCCCATATATGCTGTTTGGATCACTCAACAGACAATAATCCACCCCAATGCTTATCTCACTAACCCCAAAATCAAGATACAACTTCTGAAATGTGGAAAAGAAGAGACGGCAGTTATACTTGCACCACACACTATCTAGCAGCAAAACACTGCTCATCTGGAAGTCTGTTCCCTAATTCTTTTTTAATTCTATTTAAAAGCAGAGAAAAATACAACATTAAACAAGAATTCAATTCACTTACCTGGAATTCTGTTCTACGCTTGAAGAATTCTCCAAGAAAAACCATCATATCAGAAACTACTGTGGTAAGGTTTTGGGCAAATAAGCTACAATCATCCACATAACTGAATCCAGTGCCCACAGGATTATCCACAAACAAGATACTGGCTGCCTGCAACTGTAGAAGCAGAAAGAAGGTTTGTATAAACCCTCAGTTCAGCACCAGCAAAAAAAACTTAGTTCTGATAGCACAAATTATTAACTGAGCCAGCAAATCCCTGGACCTGAAAAAACTTGCAGAAAAATTAGGTGCAACATAAAGTCCTTCAATTTGCCAAATCTGTAATGAGAAATACACCCAAAAACTGCCAGTGATACAGAGGGAAGTCGCCTAGGGGGAACTCTGGAGTACTTCAGACTATTGGTAACTCAGAGCACAAATACATTGCTCCAATTAAACTTCCACCTTCACAGGCAGCTGTAATTTGTTTTCCCTTGAAGGCCACACTGGACCTGTAATTATAAGCATAGGTTTTACACTGCCAGCCACCCAGACAAAGCTCTGTGACTGCACACAATGAAGCTGTGATCTGAAATAACATTTTCTACAATTTCCCTGCTCTGTCCCAGACATGTGCATTTCACAGTTCCATGGAACAGACATACTTCATTAAATCAAATTAATATCTACCCCTCAGTTCTAAACAAGGCCATTCCTATAAGCTAATTTAATAATCACAATATTTTAACTTGAAATATTATAGTTCTACTGAACTTTAAATGAAAAATTGTTCTGTGTTTTTTTGTGTAGTAATCATCTGCTTACACAAGCAAACAAACATTTGTAATCAGTAGTTAGAAGCTGAACTCTACTGTACCCAGGTTGTATTTCTTGGCTTCATTTCTCTGTCTAATGGACCAATCTCTTCGAAGTTCCCATATCCACAGCCTGAAGATCCTGGACCTCCCTGCAGGGAAATATCAAATGACACAGATGTTAAAAGGCAGCATGGCATAGACATGACAGATGGAAGAAAAGTAGCCAGTAAGAAAAGCAGCCAGTAAGTAGAAAGACAGACTGTAAATTTTTAGAAATGGCTTTTGCACTACATGTTAATTTGCAGAGCAGGCTCTGTTCCTCATGGTCTTGGGCTATGCACACACATGCCATTTCTGAAAGCAAGAATTCAACAGGGAAGCATCACCCTCTTGTGAGAGCTTCTGGTGAGCTGCCTGCTATATGAGCCCGGTTTTAATACCTTATTCCCCAAATATGGAGTGCAAAAGTTAACTCTCTTCTAACGGGGGCCTTGCAAGTCATTGGCTCAATCAGCATGTACAGCTTGTGGGTTTCACACTGATGAAATAACCCAGAAAGAATAAGAACAAGTCCTCAAGTGATTCTATTCAACATTAACTTCTGAAATGTATGTAAATGCCACCACTTTTATCAAACCAGGATTGTTTCCATTTAGAAATCAACCTCAATCTCTGATTATTTTATTTACTCTCTCTCTCTCTGAACACTGTTTAGACTTCAAACTCTCCAGGAAAGGAGCTGTGAAATTGCAATGCACAAAAATCACTACTGTTGTATGAAGATAAGAACAACCTCTGTATTACAATCAAACCTGATGGAAGGTGAGCACTTGAGGACACCTCACAACTGCAGAATGAAATCCCGCTTTTTTTTTTCCCAACCCCAACACCTCAGTCACAAGGCAAGGCATTTAGAACAAGGCAGTTTTAAATTCTGTTTCTGTAGAGCTGCACAATATCAGATATCAGACTGAACCAGCCACAGATGGAAAGAATTATCACTTAGGTGTCTCTCACCAAACCTTACCTGAAGCCACAAGACAAGAGGTAACTCTGTGAAGTCTTTGGTTGGGTTATTTGCATAGTAGAGCCACCAGAACATGTGGGCCTTGCTCCGAACCTCCACATATCCCCACACCTCTTTGGGCTCTTGGGGCTGCCTCAGAACTACACCTTGAGAGGAAATAACAATAATAAGCAACTAGGTAAAAAGACTCAGCTTTGGACTTTCCACCAGAATTGTTCCAAAACATGACATTTCAGTCTTGGGTGTGATAATGAGAAGTACTACTACTATTAAAAGAAATTACTATAAGAAACCTGCCTATACTTACACCCCCACCCACAGCTGAGTTATTGTCAATGAATGAAGTGTGTAATTAAGTGCTGCCTTATCAGAGCCTGGCGTTAGAGCTGCCGCCGGAATAACTGCCCAATTGCTGGAATAATTTGTTCTTGAAGTGACCTGGGCTGAAGGCACAGCCGCAGTGAAATAACTCCCATAACCAGCTGCAATTTCGACAAGGATCACAGAATATTCTGAGTTGAAAGGGACCTAAAAAGATCGAGTTTAGCGAAGGGCCCGGGCGGGGATCGAACCCGCAGCTTTAGGGCCATTGGCTCCATGAGCCGAGGAGCTGAACTCATCGCAGCGCTTTGAGCCGGGTGTGTGCGGGGACCGCACCACTTCACAGTCCCCAAGGAGAGCACATGCAGACAGACAGAGGGTCACTTCTGAAGGAATCCAAATATAATTTAAGTCAGTAAAATCTGGTCACTTACGCAGTCAAACTACCGTCCATCTCAAACACGGAACAGACCTTTGACACTCCATCCCTTAATCTCAGGGATCAGGGCAGAAGGCAACAGCGCACTGGAGCAGGAGCAATAAGGCTTTTCCACGGCCACGGTGGCCAGGCTTTGCTGCTCTCGCCGGGACTACCAACCGAGCAAGCGGAATTTCACGCGGCTTAGCCCGGGCCCTGCCCGGCAGCAGCTGCGGGACACAGGAGCGCCGTGCCCAGAGGCGCCGTGCCCGGAGACGAGACGCGGCGCGGCGCCGCTCTGCTCCCCTCTCGTCTCGTCTCGTCCCGTCCCGTCCCGTCCCGTCCCCATCCCATCCCGGCCCGGCCCGTACCTGCCGCCAGCAGCAGCACGGACAGCGCGGTCACAGCCCGGAGCAGCCCCATCGCTCCCTCAGCTCCCGCGGTCACGGGACCTGCCGGCCCGGCCTGCCCTGAGGCACCGCCCCCCGCGCCCGCCTCCTCCGCCTCTTCCTCCGCCTCCTCCTCCGTGTCCATGATGGCGGCCGGCGGCGGCCCGGTGCGGCTGCGGCTGGTGTTCGACCACCCTCCGCCGGCCAGCCCGGGCTGCGCGCTGTGCTGGCTGCTGCTGGAGCCGGGCCAGGCGCGGCTCGTCACCGACCTGCTCAGCCTCATCCGCCATCGCTTCGGCTTCAGCCGCCGCGCCCGCCTCAGCCTCTTCCTCGAGGGGGCGCTGCTGCCTCCCGCCGAGAGCGCGCGCCTCGTGCGGGACAACGACTCGCTGCGGTAGGGACGGGACCGGGACAGCGGGACCGGGACAGCCGGACCGGGACAGCGGGATCGGGACAGCGGGATCGGGACTGGGACCAGGATAGGGACAGCGGGATCGGACACAGAGAGCGGGATCCGGACCGGGATCAGGACTGCCGGACCGCGACAGCGGGATCGGGCGTCATTCCCACACACGCACCCCATCAGTGTCTATCAGTATCTAAAGGCGGTGCCAAGAGGCCGGACCGGGATGGTGCCGAGCCGTGGGACAAAAGGCAGGAACTGGTGCCCAGGAAGTTCCACCTGACCGTGATGTTACAGATGAAATTGTTTCTCGCACTGAGGTGCAGGGCCCGCACGCTGGGATAGACGAGATGCGGAGTTTCCCTCACTGGGGATATTCCAGCGCCCTCTGGACACAGCCCCGTGCTCTGGGATGACCCTTGTTAGTCAGGGAAATGGGACCAGGTGACCCCACTGTGGTCCCTTCCTGACCCATTCTGGGATTCTCTGGATCTCCACGTGGTTTTGGTGGGACAGGGATGGGTTCCCGGGGCTCTGAGCTCTGCCTTCCCTGGGCAGTGCAGCAGGAGCCGGGTGCCCGCGGGCACTGACTCCCGGCACCTGAGACACCCCAGCACGGCCAGAGGGAGGGAGGGAGCCAAGCAGTTGGAAATGTTCCCGAGGATGGAACGGGAGCCTGTGCCTGCAGGAGAGGGTCCAGACTGTCCAGGGAAGAGCTGCAGCATCTTCACTCTAGGGGAACTTGCCTGAGCTGCTCACATGTGGGGAAAAGTGTTCATTATGCTGAATGGTGGCTTTTGTTTGGTTTTTTTAACAGAGTAAAATTGGAAGAGATCGTTGCAGATGATTATGAAGAGATAGATGATGGCTTTATTTGCACAACAAAAGAAGACAAAAAAAGGCACAGACAGAAGGAGGATGAGGAAGAATTGTCCAGGAATGAAGGCAAGCATAAAAGGAAAAAGAAAAAGGAGAAGCATAACCTTGAGTATTCCTCTTGTAGGGAAGAGACCTCTGTAGATACTCGGGACTCTCAGAAAAGGTACACGAAAAGAAAAAGAAAGGAAGAAGTTAGGGGAAGAAATAGACTCACAGAAGGTAAGGAAGAGAGCTCTACTTCCCATTCTAAAAAGATGAAAAAAACAGAGAGGGAGAAGCAGTTGGCAACAAAAAAGAAGGATGAAAATCAGACAAAGGTTGCTGCAGCAAAGATGGCTTTAGAACGGGCAAATGAGAGCTTTTCTCTAAATTCTGGTAAAAATAGCACCAAAAAGATCACAACACAGTCCAGGAAAAAGAGGGTGGGAGCTTCAGATTCCTCCAGCACATCGTCTGACAGTGACAGCAGTGAATTAAATGTAAAGGAAAATAACTCTTCCCATAAACCTGTAGTGGTGACACTTCCCAAAGACAAATCCCAAGCTGCTTCAGATTCTGATGTGAAAACTAATAAAGTGACTGTAAAGTCTAACACTGAAAAGACTAAGACTGCAATTAGTAAAAATGCTAAAAAACCTCAGTCATCTAGTTCAGATTCTGACTCGAGTACAGAGGAGGAGAAGGTGACACCAGCACAAGACAGCACTGCAAAGGAAAAATCAGTGCCAAACCATGTGGTGGCTGTAAAAGCCAGCACCAAGGCTCCCAAAGCACAGAGCTCCTCTTCAGACTCTGATAGTTCAGATTCAGACACACTTGTCATTAAAAAATCTGCAGCAGGTGCTGGACTGGGTAATTCCATAGTAAGGAACTGCACTACACAGTTTCCAGCCAGTGCCCAAGGACCGTTTGCCAGCCCGAGCCGTGGAAGGGGGCGTGGAACGGGAGAGGATAACTTCTGGAGAGGACCTAGGGGCCGTGGGTTTCGTGGGATGATGAGGGGCCATGGGAGAGGAGCAAACCCTGGCTTCTTCTATAACTACAGCAGTGAAGGCCAGAAACAGAGGCAGTTAAATGAAGCTGCGACAAACACTTCTGTCCTTGTCCAGGTGAGTGACTCACACAGGCAGAGGTCACCTTTCTCTGGCAGCTTGAACTGTACAAAGAACCTACAGGATGAGAGTAATTCAGCAGAATAACAGCAGAAATAGATTAGTGGGATAAAGGCTGAGCTTTCATTTACTGTAATTCCATTTGTCAGCCTGAGGACATGTTTATGAAACAACAATAAAGTGATTGTATTCTGTATCTAAAAACAAAGCATGTACCTTGCTCTTCTCAGTGATTCTTGCAATTCATACAGCATGAACATTGTCTTGTGTTTTCACTGATACAGTAATTAAATCAGTGGGTTACTCTTTGTTTCACAGAATCCGGTGGAGATTCCCAGGAGAGACTATAGTGTGTTACCTCTTCTAGCTGCTCCACCCCAAGTGGGAGAAAGAATTGCCTTTAAGGTAAACTCTGGAAATGCTAAATGTTAGTAGGTTAAGATTGCTTCATTTGGGCCACTTTTAAGTTTCTGAGCTAACAGTTTCTCTGAAAAATTCACTTGTTGTAAAGCCTGGCTTTGATTTTTGTCAAAGTTTGGAGCATATACAGAAGTTAAGTGCATTTCTTTAGACTTTCTGTATTTGTAGAACACAATAAATGCTGCCTCTGCTGCCATTTCAATGTAATTTTCCATGTAAATGTTATTGCAAATCTTACCATACAAATAATTACACTGCACTGCAAAATAAAAAAGTAAATGCAAATGAAATCCCTGCAGCTGAGGAGGTTGGGATCCATCTCCCTGATCTCCTCACACAGCCTGACCAGAACATAAATCCTTTGGAGCAGCAAGTCCTGGAAGTCTACCTGGGACCATGATTATCATTGGGTTCCAGGAATAGGAGACTTGGCTCTTGCACTTCTCTGTTGCTGAAGAAACTGTGTCTGGATGTAGGTGGAATCATCAAAGATTGGGAAAAGTTACAATTTGTGACTTGTATTTCTTTCAACAGCGCCTGGAACTAACTGAAAATTACAGTCCTGAAGTTTCAGACTATAAGGTACTGGTTTTCTTTTCTCCCTTCGTTCACTCACAGAACTATGGTAGATGAGGTGTGGTGTAAATATTTTGATGCTGTGCAGTGTTTTTCCTTGCGTCCAGTTGACTCCACAGGCTATTCCTAGTGCAGCAGTAAAAATCAAAACTCTAGAAGCTGAAACTAATTTTAAATTTGAAAGGTGTAGCTGTTATTAAAAAAAAAAAAAAAAAAAAAAAAAAAAAAAAAAAAACCAAAAAAAAAAAAAAAAAAAAAACCAAAAAAAACCCCAACAAAACAACAAACCACCAACTACAAGGATTATTAATAATAAATGTTTTAGAGATGACAAAAAATGCAGGTCCTCAAGTAGAAAAATGTAGCTGTATTTGAGTCTACTGCTATTGGAAGTTAGGGCAAATTCTTAAAACTGGTGCAAGTAAAATTTTGTTGCTACTTCAGATATCTTGGTTTCTGGGTAAGTACTGATTTAAACTGCAAAGTTAGTGACAATGAGTAACTTTGGTTTATTGATGCCAGTAGTTACAGATTGCTGAGCATTAATTCTTTGCAGATTTTATACATGGAGGCTAGAAAATTTGATAGCTAAATATACTTATTTCCTCTGGCAGCAATCAAGTAGTGCACTGGTTGTAAATATGGAATACTTAACCAGTGCTGAAGTGTGTCTTACCTGATTCTTTTGTTGTTGCTTTGTGAAGGAGGCAAAAATACTCAGTTGGAATGATGAAAAAAAGCAGATTGAACTTGAGATCCTTTCAACATCAGCAGGACAATGTACGTACCTGGGGACACTTCAACTTTCAGGAGTATTCCCAATTACCTTGGGATCATTCTCAACACACCCCTCCCCTCCTCATTCCTTCCCCAAAAATCTATTTAAATTGAGAAGTTCTAACAAGTTCTAACCCTTGCTAGTTGAGCTGAAGGATGCTCATGGGTATTTACAAAATAATTTTTTTCAGTAATTTGAGTGGTCAGTAACTCACCTCTACTGTGATTTCATTTTCTGAAAGAAATTATTTCAGAAAGAAAGAAAATATTTTATATTATTATTTTGAGAGAAAGTGTGAAGTCATAATAGTGTACCTTCAGTGGGTGTGGAAGTGAGTCCCTGCAATGACAAGTTCCTGAGACCTGAAATGTTTAATGGTTTTTAAACCGTGTATCCTGCAGTTGCCATTTAAGCCAGAATTAGTGAATTGTCATATGAGCCTTTTTCTCAAATTTCAGCAACATATTGTTGACTTTCTCATGTGAGTAGTCAGATAATTACCTTAATTTTGGTGTGTAGTATTCAGTTTTTCCTCAAGATTTTCTGTTACAATTATGAACCCAGACACTGAGCACAAAAAAAAACCCCAACAGAACAAACCCAAAACCAAACTGATTTTGGTCAGCTTTTGTGGCAAACATTTCAGTTTCTTTGGTTTGTAGCTGGTTGAGCTGTTTGTTTGGCTTTCAGTTGCTAAGGAGCCAGGGAAGTTCGACCTGGTGTACCAGTCTGCAGACGGAGTGGAGCTGATCGAGTACGCGGTGCCTCAGGACACCAAGGTACGTGGGGCCTGCTCTGAGTCCTGCCACCAGCTCTGCAGAGCTGGCACCTGCCCTGCTCCCTGCCTCTCTTCACCTCAGGGACATTCCCTTTGGAGTCATGCATGTGATTTGAAT